TAACAGGCAAAGCTGGAGGTTGTAGAAAAGCTTGTGGAACAGGCAGATACAGGAGGTTATTGGAAATATACTTTAGGTCAGAGATTCCGAAGAGCGGAACATTTTAATCATTTAACAGCTTTAGCCTATTATTTATATAGCAAGGTGTAAGCAAGCAGCTGTGGCAGTCCTAGATATTCTGGCAAGCGACTGCTGGTAGTTGGCCTCAGCATTTCCTGCTCTTCTGGGGTATCCCATCCTGGAGTTACAGGGATGGGCGCCCAGTTCCCTCGAGGGAAGGTGCTTCTAGGCTTGTAGCAGGAAGGTTTGTTGCACTGCAGGTTCGGCTGATGCTCCCTCTGACATTCCTTTCTTTAAGGGGAGGTGCTGCACGTTGTATTGGCCACGAAGAGAAAACCTAAAGAATGTAAAGAGTAACATTTCCTCGCTTTTGGAATATCTTAATCTTGTAGTCCTAGTGACCTACTAAAGGGATTTTGTTTTCTTTGGTTGCTTTACCGTTACAGAATAAAACTGCCTTTCTGGTCTGAAATAGAGCTATTATCTTTGCCTGAAGGCTTGGACTGCTGTCGTATTATTTTTTTTTTTATTTTTTTTTTTTGTACGTTAACCATGGAAATAGGCTGAGATCAAGAAATTTTTGTTGATTTTTAAGCAGCTTAATGTCCTAACTTGTGTATACCCTTTTGAGAACTTCTTGTTTGTGTGTCTGCATGTCTCACCCATTGAATTCTCTGTGTTGTTTTCCTGTCTGTCCACTTCCATGGTATCTATTTTGAGCACTTTGTTATGATTTCTTATTTATATTATTATTTGTAAGTAAAATTAACTATTACAACCTCTTACTGTCTTTCTAGTCTGGGTTATTGTAGTGTGCTGGGATCTCACAATTTGATTAATCACTTTCTGACAAAGTAAACCAGTATATTTTGAATTATTTTCATCTGTATTTGGTTTATAGTTTCCAAAAACCTTATTTACATCAAAAAGGGCTCTACTGATTGAGTAATTGTCCAGGTTTTGGCTGGGATAGAGTTAATTTTCTTTCTAGCAGCTGGTATAGTGTTA